GTGAAGTAGTAAAAGGTGCTTCAATAGGATTGATACATCAGTGCTGATTCACCTTTGCTTTGGTGCAAACATGTTGTTTTGTAACTATTTGATTTTCCTGTGATTCTGCTGTTGTGCCTGCCACGTTTGTTCAATAACTACACTGAAATGGGTTCATCTTTTTTTGATCTCTTGTCCTGAAGGATGCAGACTCCTAATTCAAAATTGAATTATTGTTTAACATTCGGTATTCACCGCACAAGATGCCTCCACCCAATGGACAAATTGACCGCCTCTACCTTCAGACTTGCCCACTTTACATGTCTATTGATGTTGTTCCTCTTGTTTTTTTTTTATTTTCTGCATGCTCTTCGGAACGCCTGCATGTTGTTCCGCCTACCCTACCTAGCAGTGTCGCAACGAAGTCCACAACTACGTGAACCGTGCCTCGAACAACGTAGATCCTTCGCTTCATACGCCTCTTTTCCTTGATTCTAATGATACTATAATATGCTGATAAATCGGCCACTTCTACCATGCATTGCTTTCGTTTCCTCTGTTTACTGTTGTGTGTATGTCGTATACAGTAGCGGCTAGTGGCGTGGAATGGGGATATTACGAAAAGCGTGTTCGTGATATTGTGTTTAGGTCTTTCAGAATGCCTTCTGGCTGCCGCATCGTAAAGAGGGTAGCCTGACTAGCTGGCACAAAGGAATGGAATGTTTGGCATGTAATGGATGGTTGATGAGCCTCTATTGTCTCGTGGCCTGAAATGCCTTTCAGTGGAAGTAGCTCTCAAGCCAGTGCTGCAGGGCAATCGGCTGTTTAGCTGTTCTGTTGTGTATGGTGTAGAATTTGATAAGTGACCTTTATTTTATTATAAAATAACAGCAGGGATGGGTTGGAGGGGACGAAAAGTGGAGGTGTCATCTATTATTTGCTGCAGTTTGTGGTGAGACCAGAGCCAAATGCATTTGCTGAGGGGTTTCTTGAATTTCCGACTACGTGTCGGCAGCAGGAGTAGGTCTGCTTTTTTTACAATTAATGGAAATTGGGAAGGGGGTTTAGAAGTCAGTTGTAGTTTGCTGAGACTCGGAACAGGTTATCAAACGTTTCCTTTGCGGTACGTTTACTTTCAGTGAGAATGTACGCATTCCTTCCTTTTAAAAGGCTCTTATCTGGGTGCTTAAGCTTGTTTCATTTCCAAGAATGTTTCAAGTTTAGCCGAAGAGAATTAAGACGTCTTAGTGCTCCTTAATTTTCCTGATAGAATGATTGAGGTGGGACTTGTCATCCTTTCTTTTGGCTTTTGAGTTCTTTCCGGTGTAAACGCAGGCATGGTTCACTTCTGTGTCGTTGGCAAAGCAAAAATATCTTGTAGCAGTGCTGGGCATTAATTCGCACCACAAGCCCTGATGCCTCGGTACCAGTGAATCTCAAGGCAGTGACATCTTTGGTAAACCTCTATTAATGCAATTTGCGTTTTTAGAAGCTATTTCACGTTGGTGGGCATTTTGGGTGGTCACTAAACTCAAACAATTTATGTTCTCGAGTTCCTCATCATAAAGACGGTTTGCTGGACAAAATAGCCTTACATAAGCGACATTACTACGGTAGACGTATTCACTTGCTCTCTTCTCAGACTTCAAGCATTAAAGTAAGGCAAATTTGACGATTTCTCACTACCTCACGGGAGAGAGGATTGTTGCTTCATCCACAAAAGCGCACTTGCAATCAGCAAAGGCACCACAAGAGGCGATTGAAATGCGCCAAGACGTGGATCAGATAATGCTACTATCAACTTGTTTCATAACAAATTATTCTAAAAATTCCTTCATATTAATCCCCTTTTCTTTTAAAAAAACAGAAGAGGTGATTGTGAATGAGGGGGTACGTGGTTCGTCCAACACTAGATCCTTTTACTCCGAAGCGACCTCAAAATTCTCTCTGAAATTTGGGCATTTCAAATACATCATTACGGACATGGTGTTCAAGCACAAAGTCCAGTACTTCTTCAATTAAAAGCAAAATTTCGGTTTTACGAATAGGTTAAGTGAATTTGGATCAAGACAAGTTTATATAACTACAAATTAATTAAAAGTGGAACTAAAACGCTGCTACAAATGTCTACACTAGGCTACCTGGTGCTTTCATTTCGAGGGCTCATTAAGCGTTCTTTAGTTCCTCCTGTCACTCCCATCCAGGATGATAAATGGTGTGCCTGAGTGAACCACTTGCGTGTAGCACCAACAGAAGACAGTGGATATTAATAATGGAATGCAGGACACTTAAACATCACGGACAGAACGAGTAGCAACCAGTAGGGAGACCACAATATAGTAGGATAAAATAATGTTTTAAAAGAGAGTAATACACAAAAGGTCTAAAAGGAAAATCGAGGCCGCATTATCAAATTTACGAACTCAATGTATTTTTAAAATGGTTGTACACACAACGAGATTGTTAATCCTGACCGATGTTGCTTTTAGCGCAATCGGGGATGCGAAGTTGGCTGGACCAGAAGCGCCAGTACAAACTCTGGAAAGGGGCACGGACCCACTTCACGTAGAGATGCGGAGTCACTCAGTGCAGACGCGTCTCTCCTCCCTCCCCTCTCCGCAGACGATGTCATCCACAGCAGGGGCAGCGAACGCGACACAGCCGTCGGGACCCCTTATCCTTCACCGAGTCATTGTCGACCCCTCTGCCGAGGCGGCGGCGGAGGAGAGTGGTGGGAGTGGTAGCGGTCTCACCGCCATTCTGCCTCTGCTGAAGCAGTGCACTCGCTGTGGCTCACAGCGCGTGCGTCTCCTGCTTGTGGAACGACCACCTCCACCGCCACCGCAGCCCCCGGCCACCCCCTCGTCTGTTACCCACACCTCGCGATACCATCGACAACAACAACCGCATCCCCACCGTCCGCAACGGACAACGCTACCAAGAATGAGCCAGACGGTTAGAAAATCGAGTGACCAGGAAACAAGCCATCATCTTCAACAGCAACATCACCACCAACCTTCACGGCAGCTACGGCCTACACCGACGATCCGGTCACTGACTCAACCCGTAAAGTAGGTTCTTCTTTTCTGGCAGAAACTAATTTTCGCCTATCTTTCTATATGGAGTTCTCAAGTGGAGTTAAATAAAAGGGTTTTGCTATCTACTAGCATGGGAACTCAGGTTGATTACTTTGCCTTCTCCACTTTAAATGGTTGTGCAGATTTAAATAAGTCTTTCTATTTTTAATGTATCGTAATTTTTTCTGACTTTAGTTCAGATTATTACAACTATTCCCAAACACAACCCATTGCTACTGTAGTAGTTAGCTAGACTGACTGATTCGCTTTACTTGACTGACTCTCTTCTTCATCCTTTATGAAGAACAGAAGCGAAAATGATGATTTATGATCAACATTTTATCGAAATGTGAAGGACCCTTTTTCTAAATATCAACGGTGATAAAATTAATGGATGGAATTAGCACGGCTAACTACTGGCAAAAAATATTACTTTGGTAGCCAAAGTTTGAATTAACAGCTGGGCACTCCCCATTCAATCAGCATTAATTTATCCGGTTCTGAGATGAAACCTCAAGGGTTAAGCTTGTGCCATTTTGCATTATTCGAGTGACTCATAATCGTGCCTTTCTTTTATTTACTCAAATTTGAGGAATGAAAGGACACAAGACTAGAATTCTTTGCAAGAATACGATGTGGGAGGCTAAATTTATGGCACCAAATCTTGTAGAATGACAAGCATCAAGACCTTGAGATGTCCACCTCTCCCCGAAGAAACTATCAGATATAAGTCTGAAAACAGTTTTATAATACATGCGGAAGGATAAAGAGACTGTGAGTGGGGGATATGAAGAGGTGCAGATAACTGCGTTATACCAACAGTGGCTGACGCATGTTTTGTCGAGGTTCAGCAGTAGTGCGTGCATGGAGGAGCATTTGGTGAAGAATGAGGTGTCATGTGAACGAAGGTGCAGAAGTCGAATCCGTGAACACTCTACTGTGCTTGCAGAAGACTACAAGCACAGTGGAGCGATCGGACTCTGAGCCGCTTGGCAGTGAGATGTTTGAGCTGAATGATGTCAACGTCTCAGAGACGCTCGTGCGTGCGTGTGTCAGTGAGGATGGCAGGTATGGTGGTTCCATCTCCAGCCTTTAGCCCTGACAGTTATTCCTGTGATTAATCAATCCGCGTGTGGTGCACGCCTGCTTCTGCATGTCTGACTGATGCAGAACTGATCTGTTGGTTGACAAGATTGCACGTGGGACGAGTGTTTTGGTGGGAATGGTGAACACTGCCCGTCAGCTCGTCAGCCCATCAGTCGGTCGGCCCGTCAGCCAGTCAGCCAGCCAGCCATCCACCCAACCAATTGGTCGGTCAAAAAGTGGCAGACATTTGTAAGTGGGGGAAGTTGGCGTACAGGCGATGAGTGTAAAGATGGGTTTCCGGTTTTGAGCACTGACGGGAAGAAGCAGACTGTTGGATGGTGCTGTGGTGTGACCGCTCTGCAGACGTTGGGTGTGCGGAGAAATAAGTGTGTGGATAAATGCAAAAGCAGGTGATTATATGAAACATAATACAGGTTACACCCCCTAAGGTATCTTCTCTTTTAATGGGTAATAAACTCCGTCATGAGCACAATACGTAAAATGGATATTAGATCGTCGTCTAGTTCCACCCAATGTCCTGCCATTTTTGAGCAAAATGATGAACAGGTCAAATAGCATTGAAAATTTAGGTTCCCGAGCGGCCTCAGCGAGGAGAAATCACAAGAAGCGGCGTCCACAACGATGAAGCCTATCGAACGGACGAGAGGGGCTATATCTCGCCGTCATCAGGCGGAACCTTGCACTCACCACCCCCACCTGCATCTTCACCACGACCTGCACCATTATCACACAGTACCACCCCCACAGCAGCCGCACCAGCGGGGGCATCGACGAACTTCGGAGGCGACAAGTAGCGGCAGCAGGGGCCGCTCTCTTCCACGGGATGTGACGCCTCATCCTCTCTCCCGTCAAGTTCAACACGCCCATCAATACCCTCACCACCCGGAGCTTATTGAATCGCTACCCCAGGAACCATCGAGCACCTCCATTGCCCCATCCAAGACTGCTGCCTTTCATCACCACCCGACACCCCCAGAAGCATTCCATCCCACCGTGTTGCAACAGAGACCGCGCCGTCGTGGCAAACAGCGCGTAGGCCAGCGTGAACAGCGTCTTGAAGGTATGCTCTCGCCATCGTATTCTGGTTTACTACATAGTGATTGTCCTGAGTTGGAATAATCAGACAATTAATTTGGATTAAAGAAGTATCCTTCATCTGTTTGCTGATGAATTTAAGACACTTCCTTTTTGTTTAATGAAAAATCCTTGCAACTAATCAAATAATAATTCCATTTCTAACTGGTCTGTAGCCTTCACAGTTTTATGATTTTGAATTATGTAGTGATAGTAAAGTGCAGGGGACAAAACACCTCAGCCTGCTCGTACGCGGGCTTATTCATAAACATGAAATGCATTTACGACTTAGTCCGACATTAAGAAGTTGGCCAGCCAATATTGCCTAAAATACACCTGCAATCCAGCTTTTTGGTGGAACCAGTTGGACTGGTTAAGATGTGTCGGTAAAACACCGGCTTAGTGACGTTTCGCGTTAAGATGACGGCTTGGCAACTCCATCGAGCATGCCTCTTCAAGGAGCAGTGGTGTGCCCACCTCACTCCCATCCCCATCGTCGCCACCATCTGACTCCACCTGCGGTAGAGGCGCAGCCCGCGCCACCCCCGTTGGCTCCGCGCCTACGTCGCTCTCTAACTACTGCTACCACCTCCGCCATCTCGCTCAGCCAACCCCTTCTAACCCAGACCCCTACTGTCGGCCGCCCGCGACGCACCTATGATGAGGTTGACTACCTCCTCTACAACCTCTGTTTGAATATCGAGAGCGCACTCTAAACGGAACTCTCCACATCCTCAACCTATCTTCCCCTACTTGCTCTCCTAGGTTCAATGAAACAAGACATATCTAGCTGTAGCGATACTTCATTCCTATATATACAGACAATAACAAACAGCCCAAGAGGTATTTTAATTATAATTCTAGCAGTTTTCTTGTCCCCTCATCTAGATCTCTGCATTACTGAAAAACGCCGTATTATTACTTCTTCCTTGGCTCCGGCTTCCGTTCCTTTTGCAATCTTTATGTATAGAGCTCAATAGGATGTGCTTCTGAATCTATTCAAAGAGAGAGGCTATTTCTAACCCCCTTCCCCTCTTTCCAAGATTTATTGTATTTTTTTCTGTGTGATTACAAGGATATAACTTTATTGAAATTATTGCCTTGTTTGATTTACCTCTAGTGATAAAGGAGAGTGCTTTACTAACATTATTGTTATCAATCAACGCGCAATTATGAGCTATAGAAACATTTTGGGGACGGTATTCTTTTCCCTGTGTTCAATAGACAAGGGTAGCTATTATTTGTACCCCTTAAAACAAATATTGCGTACACTGTACATTTGCTCCTTAATTAGCGGTCAGCGGAAGCAAACTTATTTTATCTTCAATGAATTTACCATTCAAAAATACAGGATTGTTTGGTGCAACCTTAGTAATACTTACTATCTGAGGATACGCATTCGAGGTAAAGAAAATGCACCCTCGATCGAATCATTTCAGGTAGAGCACTGATAAATATGTAGAGGTTTGAGCTTTTCTTAAGTATGATTTGAATTACGTGGGACAGCTCCCAGGCCATGCTGGTGATCTCCCATTCCTCTTGCACGTTGCCGTTGTATGTCCTTCCATAATAGTTTGACTTACTACGACTTCAGTAAAGACACAAAGTGTTAAAAATTATGAACTCCAGAAAAACGGCTGTCTATAAGTTACGTGGAAACAGCTGCCTTCCTGGATGCACAAAACAGACGCTTAATAAATTATGCATTTTGTTAAAAGTATGCGATAACACGATGGCATTAGGATTCCACATGCCTAAATGGATCGCAGAGCCTCGATAAAGACACTTTTTGGCGAAATTTCAACCCACACTTTGTAGCGTGCAGCCTTGTAATAAACTGTGAACATTACCGGTTTTGGGCTAATTTGCTACTCTGACCTAATGGCAAATCGTCGGCATTGAGCTGGCAAATGCGGAAAAATGACAGCTTAAAAATCTGCAGAATCAAAACAGTGGGACGGTCCGATATTTCTTTGTTAGTGGAACTATCCATTTAATTCCGCCTGGCCTCTGTCGCAATCGAGGTGCCCTGGCGGTCTCCACGCGTCCTTTCCTTCTAAAGATCAGCACCCGCTTAAAAAGAACCCAGCCCCAAATCTCAGTCATAGGATAACAAAGCAACTAGTATAGCTAAACAGACTAGCGCAAAAATGATTGAATAATACGTAGCAAACGAAGAAAAGATGTCAACATTTATGAAAAAGAGCTCCGGAAATTACGGAAGTCACAATACGCTTGTTAAAAGCGCAGTAAACTGAAACAAAAAAGTAATTGCTCAAATTGTACCTATCGCTCTTGACCAAAATAGCCACATCTCCTTTGCTTGTAAGGAAAAACTAATATATTTTGTGCACCGTAAATTTTAACGTAGAAGAGAGTTATTTCATAAAGTAAGTCCAGTAGCCTGTTGGCTTTTTAAATTGACGCCTTTTTGTTAATAGAGTATTTTGTAAGTAAGTCAAAATTCTGAATTTATGAAAGTTGTGTGGTCTTTATTATATCGAACTGGTAAGAAGGCGCACTTCACCAAGTCGTTTCCCTTTCTTGTGTCTAGCTCCTATGTACATAAAGAGGGTTATTATTCAGGGTTTTCGCAGCTATCGTGATCAAACATGTCCGGAAGACTTTAGTCCA